CATTACCTGTGGTTCCTCTCTGATAATGTCAGCACATTATGAAATCCAGTGGGGGTCAGTAAGGTTTCTATAAAAACCCTCTGTATTAAAAAATAAGTCCATTCATCTTGCCCTTGTTCCATGTGTTTGAGGATTGCATGTTCTCCCCATCTCAGGCTTCATCCAGGTTTTCCAGTTTACTTTCACAGTCCAAAGTCTATAATGTGTGAATATCTTTTTGTTATAATAGCATAGATTTTTTTCTTTGAATTCTGAATTTAGTTAGTAATGGTACATGGTTGCAGAATCATGAATATAGTGTAGTTTGTTCCTGCTCATCAAAAACGTGTTGAAAAACATAACATAATCCTTTTATTTTTTGAGGAAAAAAACAGCAAATATGCATATGTAATATGGATATAAAACATACATATCTTTCATCAGCAGTGCCACTACTGATTCTGCAAAATATACTCACATTGATAATGACTTGGTTTTCAAGAAATTTCCTGTACCTGTTTCATTGTAAATTTTACTTTATTGTGATGTTCAAAGGGATCATGACAAGATTTGAACCCTAACTTCCTCACCTAAGGTAACCATGTTGACTTCTTACTGAGGCTTGTGAAAATAAGTACAATGTTTATCTTCTAGGTAGAATAAACTAGGTGGCATTTCAAATGGAAGGTTGCCATCCTCTTAAGTTTGCATCTATAAGATCATGTTTGTATCCTCCTAACTGCAATCCATTTCTAGACTATTTCACATCTGGAAATATGTCCTTACTTTACTCTTCATTTGACCCTTTACTCAAATGAGAAGCAGTAATAATTAGTTTGAGGACTCTGTCCTCATTAATGTACCAGGAACCAATTACTTTCACATTAAATAAATAAGTTAAGGATTTCTATCGTGTCATCTTCTCATTAATGTTTTATATAGTTGGTTTTAAATCAGTTGCCACTTCTAGAACAAGTGGTTGATAGATAGATCTTTTTACAAAATATAAGAAACTTACAAGGAAATTACAAGGTCATAATATTTATGAATGTACTTTCAGTCTTACATTTGACTTCCTCCTGACAATTTATAATATGTAGTCAAAGACATTTAAAAACATAAAACTTAAAAATTTGATGATTTTAAAGGTCAGGATATGCATACAAATTTGTTCTAGGAAGTAATTTGTTTTGGGTGTCAGTTCCTAACTTCAGCAGTGTGATATTATGCTAGCAGCATCCTAGCATCCTAGCAGCATCCTAGTTACTGGTGCAGGTTGGGAGGTGATCCATCAACACCACCAACGAGGCAAATCTGACCCTCGACAAGAGTTTAGGAGTGGTACAGGTGGCGTGTTATGTTCTTCTTTTCTATCTTTCTATGTATTTTTTCTATCTGTTTGTTCATTCATTCATTCATTGGTAGAGTAGTTGTGGTCCATAAGAGCACATTGTTCAATGGCTTTTCATCTTACACTCACGCATTTACAATGATTTTCATAAAACATAGACATACATGATTTATGCATGACTTTTAAAGGTCCCATTTGTAATGGACATATTCTCGGGGATCTGATATGATAACATAAGGACAATGCATATATCTTCCAGTATACATCTTAAAATATATATGAAAAATATATTTTACTAATCTGCAGGATAGTAAGGGTCTTATAATTGAAAACGACATTGACATAGTGGATGAGTTCAATGTTAGTTTTGCACGGGTATTCACTGTCGAGGACACTAGTAACTTACCAGTTCTTATTACTAATTCAACATCGTCTATAACTAATATATATATAACTGAA